AGTTAGAGATAAGAGCCGAGGTGGTGCCGAGGTGGTGCAGCAGTTAGAGTGCAGTACTGCAGGCCACTTTAGCTGACTGTTCAGCAGGTCAGCGGTTCAAATCTCACCGGCTCAAGGTTGACTCAGCCTTCCATCCTTCCGAGGTAGGTAAAATGAGGACCCAGATTGTTGGGGACAATGTAAAATATATATACATTGCTTACTGGTGTACACCGCTTAGAGAGTGCTCGCACTTAAAGCGGTATATTAGTCTCATAAATAAATAAATAAATAAATATGTGAAAAGCAAGCTGCAAGCAATTCACTTTGTTTTCCTCTTTTGTTCAGGATCCCCTCTCTTATAAAGCAGGAACCCAATGATTGTTGCAATTAATATGGTTCTTTTCCTCAGGAGAACCCCAGGCGCGTTCTCCTCTGTACTTCTGAGTTTTCCATGGCACTCTGGGATTCAGAACAGTTTTTCATTGACTTCCGGACTCATTATCATTGTTATGTATCTTAATTGTAATTTTTATACTTACTGTATGTTACTTTTTTCTGTATAATTGTGATGCCTCTCTGCTACAATCTATATCTTATATTCCATGCTGGTGTAGATCGAGGTATGGAATGTATTTGAGGTAATTTTCCACAAGACATCGTCATGCCAAAATCAGCTAGGGATCTTATGTCATTGTGGTTAAAAGTTCACTTGGAAAGGATTACATCATTTGGGATTTTTTTTTCCTTAATACAAAGAGAGAACTTGTTCACCAAGAAATTGTTGCATAACCAGGGATTAAAAATCCACTAGGAAACTGAGTCAAAATCCTGTCATTGGGAGGGGAAATTATGGCTAATTCTGAGGTGATTGGAAGTCAGCTATTTAAATATTGGTACCGAAAGTGAATTATCACTGCAGAATTTATTATAACCCAGATCTTGCTAAATAAAGAGCATGGCATTTTTATATGCAGTAAAACACACATTTTTCTTCAATATGTATGCCTATCATCTTGGAATAATGGATTTTTCCCCTTGGCTTGTTATACCTGCTAGTATCAAAAAGACAGACTATTACCCTTTCTCACTTTTATTACGGTAATTGTAATCGGAACAAATCACCACTAGCAAGAAATTAATTCCTGGTAGAATGTACTGTATGCTGTATGTATGTTTCTAAATTTAAGGGACAACACCCACATGTGTCAGTCATCTAGAATGAGAAGATGTGAATTTGGGAAAAGGAGCTAGAACCATAAACAATATATGCAACCCCCAAATTTTGCAATAAACATGGTCATGATACATAACACTGTTAAAAAGGTGTCACTCATTCTAAATCCCATTTTATTTGTATGTCAATAACTAGTTGCTTTTGATGTTTCCGAAGGGAAATTCTTCCCTCACAATCTGAATGTTTGGAAGCACAACATCTTGAGGAGCAAGATCTTTTTCTAATGAAAACTGGGTCCTTTGCTTGGCTGATTTTCCTTCTCAAGGCCATTTTGTGTGAACGTCTGCTATGTTCCTTGATTATTGTAGGTGGCAAGGTCATTGTCTTAAGATGGTTGGGTTTGGGAGGTACCTTAGATGGTCTTTCATCAGCTGGAAGATGGGATTTTTCTCAGGCTGGCCACTTGTGCTCTTCCCTCTCCCCTTCAGAGTCTAGTTGGGGCCAGCCAAGGAGGAAGGACGTGATGATTCTGCTAATAAAGAGAGATGCTGGGGTCCCTGGCAAACAAACATGGTATGAACTGCCTGGATATCATCTCATTCACTTCATACTGAACATCTTTAGTGGCGAGAGTGCAGACTTTGCTCCCCCTCTTGTCACAGATAACTGGCAAGAGTATGCCATTGCTGAAGACATATTGTTGTGGGCCATCCTGGCACAAGTGGGTGGCGAGGGCACTTTGTTGCTGATGTCTCACTGTCACTGGCCATTTCACCACAGGGGACTTACGTTGTCACACAGTTGTTGGATACACCTCACTGATGCCCATAGTGGCTTGGGAGGACACGTAGTTGCTCAAGTAGCACTGTTGCCCCCCCTCTTGTGTTGCCAGGAAATATTGTTGTGCAAAGACTGCCTTTTTATTCCCCTTCATCGATAGAGGCATCCTTCGTTTGGAAAGGAAAAGAAGTGGCAAAATCTTAGCCTCAAAACTGTCAGGTGGATGGCCACACTTCCTCCTTTGACTGATTGCCAAGTTCCTTCGTTGCAGATTCCTTCTTTGTTTCCTCTTCTGTCTTAGTTTCTGTCTCGGTTTCTTCTGAGCTTGGACAATAGCCATAGTTTCAGTCTTCTGTGCTTATGTTCACCTGAAGTTTGTAGTAATAAATTCCTCTAGTCATGTCTCTCCCTTTGCTGTCACATACTGACTTGTATTCAAATGAGGGACCAACTCTTTGCCCTTTGATTGGTCAGTTAGAACAATGCTTTACCTTGAGAGGTAACTTAGTACCCGAAGAGACCAACACTTCATAATAAGTATTGTGAGCTCTCCTTCTCCTTCACAGGAGAATAAAGAGGGCTGTAACATCACATATGTCCAATGACCAATAGGAAAGGATAGGACAGTTAGGCTAAGAAGATTCTGAAAAAAAAAATAGGGTTTATCTAGTAGCTCTACTCCTAATTAACACTTACTAAAATATAACATGAATTAATTTAGTAGTAGTAAACAAATATATATATGGATGTTCCTAACTCTTATTTCTTTTCCTGTCATAAGCAAGAAGCACAATGTGTATAATGTTTTGTGCAGATAAAAGCAGACGTGCAAAATGAGACCTATTCAGTTCCATGGTAACTGATAAATGCTGAGGACTAGCAACCATTGCACATATTTGCTGTCCCTGTTGCATTACAATTTCTTCCCAGAAAGACAGAGATGGGAATTGTATATACATGTGGAAGACATCAAATGGGGGACATCTGAAGGACATCACATGGGGAAATCTGATTTAGTAAGTTTTGAAAAAGAAATGCCATTAATGGCTATCCTTTTGCTATGAACAGAACTGGCTACTTTGCTCCTTTAAATTAACATGAACTAAATCTATTTCCTAAATCAGGTTTAACCAAACTCTTAATGATCCTGATCAATATAGGTCATCAGGAAGGCTGTGCTAGAATGAGTTTTAATTAGTCAATAACATTGAAGGACTTTAATTTAGTCACAGGCCAGCATAACATAAAATCATATAAAAATTATAGCCATTTGAACAATCTGAAGTTTAATATTGTAGCTTGATATTGTAAAATATTATAGCTCCAACTCCTATGAATACTAACATAAACTATGTGAGAAAATATAAATGCTACAATGATATAAAATAATTTTTGTAGAAATAAACTATACATCTAAAATAAGAGACTACCATTTTAGGGATAGATTGCAATAAATAAAAGTTTATATAATAGTACCTGAAGATTTACCAGAGTTGCTAAGTCTTTTTTCCTAATCAACTCTGAATGGATTTTATAAACACAAGGACAAAACACACACACAAAAAGAAGCATTTTGGATGTTACTGAGGAAATAAAGTCAATCAGTTCAATTTGCAAATGTACCTGATCAGCATGCCCTGCTGGCTTCATTCATTCATTCATTCATTCATTCATTCATTCATTCATTGTATATAGCCACCCATCTCACTTTTATGTGATCCTAGGGGTTTACAATAAAATAAATAAAATACCCAATATCAAAAATACAAACAAGATACATTATTCAGTCAAAAAAATGGGGTCTATTCAACATCCAGGGCCTCAGGCTAATCTAACTTCAGGGGGAGATGATGTTGCATTTTGGGGAAATAATTAAAGTGTGCCTTCATATAGCAGGCACCAGACAAGGACATGCTCAGCCATCTCAAGACACCGAGTTCAACAAAGGAATTTCATTTGCAGGATCTTCTTATACCTCCCTTTGAAATAGAAGGGAAGGCATTCAGGTGCATTAATTCAGGGGTCCCCAAACCTCGGTCTGCAGCTTATTGGGAACTGGGCTACACAAGTGGTGGGCGAGTGCGCAAAGCTTCATTTACACATGTGTGGGAGCTAGGTTGTGCATGTGAAACCATCCCCTCCATCTGATCTGTGAAGCCAGAAATGTTTGGGACCGCTGTATTAAAGTACAAGTCTTTCTCTGCTTTGGGACTTATGATTTCATGCGATGTTCTGTTGGTATGCAATGGTATACAGAGAAGACCTTGAAAGGGTAGGGGTAGGCAACCTTGACTCTTTTATGACTCGTGGACTTCAACTCCCAGAATTCCTGAGTCAGTATGGCTGATTCAGGAATTCTGGGAGTTGAAGTCCACGAGTCATAAAAGAGCCAAGGTTGCCTACCCCTGACCCAGGGAATAGTCGGATAAGAGAGAGCACAGCCTGCAGCTGGATAGTGGTTGGAGCATGATGTCAACCTTAACAGGCAGACACACAGGAAGCACAGCCAGTAAAGCTACATTAACGGAAGCTTACAAGTGTGAAAGTACAATTCTCCCACCATTTCCTTTATAGTCTGAGAAATTAGGGAGGGTCCCTTCTGAGTCTCTTGCTTTACGCACTATCCAGCTGTGGTCTGTGCTCCCTCTTCTCTGACATTCTCTAGGCCAGAGGTAAGCAACCTTGGCTCTTTTATGACTCATGGACTTCAACTCCCAGAATTCCTGAGCCAGCCATGCTGAGGGGAAGGGAGAGGTTTCCAAGCTGAGCCATGCTGGCTCAGGAATTCTGGGAGTTGAAGTCCACGAGTCATAAAAGAGCCAAGGTTGCCTTCCCCTGTTCTAGGCAGCCTCTCTTTGTCCCATCTCCCAAGGTCTTTCCCACATTCCATCCCACACAGTATTTTGTACCTATGATTCTTAACCGTGGTAGATTAGGTATCCTAAAAGACAGGACTGTTGCCCCATGTCTAAAATCTGATGCAAAGTGCATCCAAGACATTTCATATCTCAAAGGTTATGAGTTAGTCAAAGTTCAGCAATCAGTTGACAATCACCTCCAAGAGTTAGCTGATGTATTAGTTTATTATATAGATTTATCTTATCAAATAGCTCTGGGTGACTAACCAACAAAACGTTTGAAACATACAGTACATTAAAAACAATAGAAAAAAACAATACAAGATGCCAGGCAAAGAATAAGCTACATCATCCCAAGGCAAGAATATCTGACAATATCCAGGCCCTAAAGCCTAGAGAAAATCCAGGTTTTGAAAGGCTTTCTGAAGGTAAAAACAGGGCATTTGAGAACAAGGTTGTAGGGACTAGCCCCATAAGACAGCAAGGCAACTCTAGCCAGTGTTTATAGCTGTCTATAACTTAGTCTCTCTTTTTACAATGCCCACTTCAAGGTGCAGTCTCTCTTGAGGCAAATCACTGGACTAGACTGTTTCTATGTGACTCTGATGGTGAAAGCCAAAACAACCACAAAGATGGAATGCCTAGAATGCCCATGTCTTGTAGGCTGACTCCAAAACCCGGCCATGGAAAGGGGAAGTATCACTTAAACTACAGGACAGCTACAACTTAGACAATACAACTTAAATGTTGTGTGTTCAGTACATTCACACACATGCTACTTGATTTCCAAACAACTAGGGCTGTTTGATTTAAAAATAGACTTTCTTAGGGCTAATTGGTGGGAGCCAATCATACCAGTTACCCCTCATGACTCAGTTAAGCATGATGGGTGAACCTGGCGGTTATGCAGTCATCTGGCTGAATAAATAGATTGGAGCAGAAATCAAAACTCAGGAGGGGGACTTTCTTTTTCGACTGATGTTTCTGAAGCAGCATCTTGAAGTGGAAGCTACATTCCTATCTGTCTTTGATTTCCCCCCCCCCCCAACCTGTGCGCATTTCATACATCTCATTTTGAATCCCGCTGAGCACAAAAGGCAAGTTTCTTCTTCAAAAGGCATGCTTCTTCTGCCTTACCGCTACCGGACTGAAAATATTTTTTTTTCTGAAGCATCTCATGTCATTTCAAGACAAGCTTCAAATAAATAGCCATGCATGAGTGGGAACCAAATGCAAAATTAATCTAAGGTTTTCTTATAGTCCCAAGTGAAGCCTCCTTTGAGAACAGCAATAACTGTTACTTAAGTTTCAGGTTACCCTGGAATGCAGACCTACCTATCTAGAAGGCAGTGCCACTTGTTCCTTGGAAAATTGAAGCCAGACAGCATGGCATCAGTCTCTTCACACCGAATCTCTACTGTTTACTAAGCTCTTTTGGGCCAATCCTAAAAAAGGCATTTTAAGCCACAGAGCAGTGCTTGTCGAAGATGGACACAAAATTTAAATTCCAAACATGCACTGTTTCCCCCCAGCCCCATAAAAGCATTTGCAAGAGAGTTATTCGTGAATTCCTGGAAAATAAATATATAAAATTGCATGGAAATATTTATCAGTGATGCATTTCCAGTGCTTACAGCAACACAGACAATGATTTTTTCCTGTGTGAATTCTTTCATGCTGAATAAAATCTGATCGGTTGCAAAAAGTTTTGTGACACTCAAAGCATATGCAATTTTTTTTCCCCCCAGAGGGAGAGAGAGCTGGTGTTTAGGTGAATTTTCTTCTCAGGAGAGAGATTTATTTGGCTTTTCTCCTGTATGGATTTGCTGATGCTTAGTTAGACAAGATTTCACCCGGAAGCTCTTCCCACAGTCTTCACACTCAAACGGCTTCTCACCTGTGTGGATCCTGTAATGTCCTTGTAGATGGGATTTCATGTTGAATCTTTTGCCGCATTCAGGACAGCCATAAGGTTTCTCTCCAGTATGGATACGCAAATGGACATTAAGGTGAGACTGCTGATGAAAACGTTTCCCGCATTCAGTACATGGATATGGCCTTTCTCCTGTGTGGATCCTCAGGTGTGTAATAAGGTGTGAAGGCTGATCAAAACGTTTCCCACACTCACGACAGACCAAATTCCCGTTTGATACTATAATTCCTATTGGGGGCTTCTGACTTATAATTTTGATGATTTTTTCTGGTTTAGGAATTGCATACACCTGGGTCACCTCTGGTAATATTGCCTGAGTATTTCCTCCTGATGTGATCTCAGTTGGTTTGGACAGCTTGGGGTCTGCTGTATGGGTTCGGCAGTGCTTATTTAGGGAAGATTTAACAGGGAATCTCTTCCCACACGCTTCACATTCGTAAGGCTTCTCCCCTGTGTGCCTCCTATAGTGTCCAAGCAAATGAGATTTAGTACAAAATCTTTTGTCACAATCAGGACAGCCATAAGGTTTCTCTCCAGTATGGAGACGTAAATGGACAGTAAGGTTAGACTGCTTATTGAAACATTTCCCGCATTCAGTACATGGATATGGCCTTTCTCCTTTGTGAATCCTCTGGTGTTTAGTAAGGTGTGAAGGCCGATCAAATTTTTTCCCACATTCAGAACAGGCATAATTCCTGTTTGACGCTGTCATCCCTATTGGGGAATTGCAAGTGGTAGTTTTAACTATTGTTTCTGTTTCAGGAGCTGCGCACACCTGTATCACTTCTGGTAATACTGCCTGGGTATTGCCTTTTGAGTTGATCTCAGATAGGTTGGGCAGGTTGGGGTCTCCTGTATGGATTCGTTGGTGCTTATTTAGAGAAGATTTAACAGGGAATCTCTTCCCACAGTCTTCACATACATAAGGCTTCTCCCCTGTGTGTATTCTGTAGTGTCCACGCAAATGATACTTGGCATTGAATCTTTTGCCACAATCAGGGCAGCTATAAGGTTTCTCTCCACGATGGAGACGTAAATGGACATTAAGATTGGACTGTTTGTTAAAACGCTTCCCACATTCAGGACACAGAAATGGCTTTTCTCCTGTGTGGATCCTCTGGTGCTTAATAACTTGTGACGGCTGATCGAACCTTTTTCCACACTCATTACACGTATATTTTTTTCTTGCTGCAGTAGTAGTTAATCGGGATCTACTCCTCGGCATTCTCTTGTTGGCCTTAGAAATTTGTGTCAACTCCGGTAACAACTCCTGCCACCTTCTGGATTTGGTCTCCATTTTTCCAGAACGTTTGGGATCAAAGCGCACAGCCCACCGCAATGGCTCGTGGAATTGCTCTGCTCCAGGCTTCTCTTGATGAGGATTCTTTCTTGTATCCAGATTTTCTGCAAGAACAACAAAGATATTCTGTATTGAAGACAGAGGCAAAAGAAGTAACAAGGCGGTGGCCAGCAAAGCAAGAAAAAAAAAAAAAAACCACCCATGGCCTCAGTTTCAATAGGCAAGTTGTTTGTGGGAATATCTGGAAGAGCTAAATTGTCCTAGATCATCCTAGTGGCATTATACTGCTTGCTCCTCAGCTCAGTAAATTAGAGGCAAAACCATACCAAAGCAGACGTAACATATTAGAAGGGGAAAAACATACCGAAGAACACTGGAAAACTACTGGATTATTCCCATGAATGCCAAATTGGCAGAGTCTCAAAGAAAACAGAATGTTCTGTATTGTTTGGAACGTTCTGTTCACAGAAGGGTGATAGTTTGCTCATTCATAATGGAGAAGGAAGCTGGATTACCTTTCCTCTTTTTTCTTGGAACGGTCTTGCCAACTGTACCTTCACAGGTTTGTTTCAAAACGAATTGACCTAAAACCTCACAAGGATGCCTCAGATTCCCTCTTTCCTCAGATTGCAGAATCTTTCCCTCTGCTCCTTTCTGAAAGATCATATCAGATTCCCTTTTATGGAAACTGTCATATGGGGGCAATTCTAAATTAAGGAAAGAAGCAGAGAAAAAACTGGAAACATTGCAGGAAAATATATTTCTTCTGTAAGTCTAAAAGCATCAAGATCTGAAGATGTACCTTATGTGATGACCGACCCAGAAGAGACTACCTTATTGGGTGGAATTTAGACTTACTGGGACTTAAGAGTTACTGAAGCCAGAGTGGGCCAATTAAAATAGGCCTTGCCAGTGGGCTGATGAATTGGAATGGCTGTTGAAGGTGTTCATTAGGATGGCTGAGTGGTTGATGTGAACCCTCAGAAACAGTCTCTGATTTAGTACTGCCAAGCCAGCTGCTTGAAAGTGGGAGGTAATGAAATTGGCAGGGCAACAATTACAACTATGTTAAGGAAAGAACAGGAATATATCATCCTGCACATGAGCTAAAACCTATGTACTTAGAGACATTCAGATCAATTAGATGTATTTCCCAACTGTCCTGAGTCTGGGTGGTAGACAGATTAAAAATGTTTGAATTAAAAAAAAGTAAATTATATACCCCATTAAAATGTAACAAAAGGATTCTTTTGTCAAAAAAAAAAAAAGAAAAAGAAAAGAATTCTTACCAACCGTAGTTGCGTCCTCACAATTTACAATCTCTTGATCAATAGTGTCTTTTCCTTTTACCACCTGGAGATCAGCCACTTGTGACACTTCTTCCCTCTCAAGCTGAAGACTTGGATCTGATTTGGAAATTAAGAGCTCTAGAGCAAGAGAAAGAAACACAATAAAAGAGAAGAGAATTATTGATTTTTTTTTATAGCCATCTAATATAATAAAACATCCTGGGCCAGGCTGGTTATTTAGTTAGCAGAATTTCAACATAGGTTCAGCAACTGTTCTAAGTGACAAGGGCACTGAAAAAACAATTTAATGACCAGCCTTTATGGCCATTGCAGTGTAACTACCATCCATCCCCACCCCAACCATTCAGGAATTTCACAAGTGGACAATGTTTATAATCATTGTAGTATCCCGGTCATGTGATCACTATTTGTGCACCTCACAACCAGGTTCCAACAAGCAGAATCAATGGAGAAGTTGGCAGTAAAACTGCAAGTCGTGGCCACACGATGTTACTTTACAACTCATAGTTACTTGCTTAATGATCCAATGAGAGCGGTATAGTATAGGGGATACCTTTCTCAATAGTAGCAACTGTGAGAGGGATCTCAGAGTCCTAGTGGACAATCACTTAAATATGAGCCAGCAGTGTGCTGCAGCTGCCAAAAAGGCCAACACAGTGCTAGACTGCATTAACAGAGGGATAGAATCAAGATCACGTGAAGTGTTAATACTACTTTACAATGCCTTGGTAAGGCCACACTTGGAATACTGCATCCAGTTTTGGTCACCGCGATGTAAAAAAGATGTCAAGACTCTAGAAAGAGTACAGAGAAGAGCAACAAAGATGATTAGGGGACTAGAGGCTAAAGCATATAAGGAACGGCTGCTGGAACTGGGTATGTCTAGTTTAATGAAGAGAAGGACGAGGGGGGACAGGATAGCAGTCTTCCAATATCTCAGAGGCTGCCACAAAGAAGAGGGAGTCAAGCTATTCTCCAAAGCGCCTGAAGACAGGACAAGAAGCAACGGATAGAAACTAATCAAGGAGAGAAGCAACCTAGAACTAAGGAGAAACTTCCTGACAGAACAATTAACCAGTGGAACAACTTGCCTCCAGAAGTGGTGAATGCTCCAACACTGGAAGTTTTTAAGAAGAGACTGGACAGCCATTTGTCCAAAATGGTGTAGGATTTCCTGCCTGAGCAGGGGGTTGGACTAGATGACCTTCAAAGTCCCTTCCAACTTTATTATTATTTTAGAGCTGAAGTCCTAAATTCATCATGGTCACGTGTTATGCTTAGTGACTCTGCTGCTTAGTGATGGGCTTGCTGGTTCCAATTATTGTCACTAAGTAAAAACTACTTATACTACAGAAGATGTGTAGCTCAAGGTTGAACCATTGATTTCTTGGACTTCTTTTAACCTGGTTGTTTTTCAGCAGACATTTCATTTACCCGGCAAGATATTGTCATCAGTGCATGAGTGTGTGAAGTATGCTGGTTGTTTATAAATGATTGATTGGGATTCAGCTGCTCTCTTGATTGTGCCTCGATCACAGTATTTTTTTCTTTCTTAATTGTTTCTCTTCCTGCAATATGCAACAATGGTATCAAACCTGTTGATTGTCTCAGGGATGTTTGTAGTAAAACAACCAAGTACAGACAACACCAAGAACAGAATAGTTTAGAACTGTCTGTTAGTGTAGTAAAACTAATGGATTAGACTTGGGGGAAATCAGTTAAAATCCACTTATGCCGTGGAAACTCTCAGTGACTTAGCATCCACCCTTCTCTCTGATCTCAGCCAACCATATAGGGTTGTTGCTAAAATGGAGATGCCCAAGTAAGCTGTCTTTAGCCTCAGGATAGAAATCCAATAGACATTTTCTTTTTTTTAGGCTATTTAATTCATTATTAGTATTCTGACATCTTCCCCTTTTCAATGTCTATGCTAATTTCCAGCCCCTGTTGGCTGAGGTAGTCCAGGTCATTCTAGTTTTCTTTTTTAAAAAATATATTTATTAAAGTTTTAAAGAAAATAAGAATTAACAAAAACTAATATTTAGAATAAAATAGAAGGAAAGAAGAGATTAAAAAAAGACAAAGCCCGAAGTGCAGGAAAATATATATATATAAAAATGATTTCACATTTTCTTTTACAGCATTTGTAATTTAACCTCATATTCTCTCACTACATACAGCATTACTTATAATTTTGGTATCAACTATTTTTTCTAATCATCAACGTCATATAAATTTACATTTTTTCCTGTTTCACCCAAAAAGTCAGTCACTATTAAACTAAGAGAATGTCTTTTCTCTAATCAAAGCTATCATCATCTTCCCATGCATTCATTCCTTCATAGTGGATAAGTCAAATCTTTCACTCTTTGTGTATATAATAATCTCACTATAGTTATCATATATAAAAACAATGTTCCACACACTTTATTGATTTCAACTGCTGGCCTCCGTGGCCAATATTGGGTAGTCAATGGCAAGTTCTAATTTTCAGAAGTATAGTGAGTTTCATTTAGATTATGTAGCACAAGATAGGGACAGTCCGTGGGAGTATGGAGAGAGTTCAACAGAGCTTGTCTAAAAGATAAGATAACCTTTATTGTCATTTTTTTACTGTGGGCACAACGGCACACATCAAAAATGAAATTTAGTTGCCTGCTCTCAAAGTGAAACACGTACATGACACACACCTAAACATACTATGTACAACATACAGTATGTATAGACCCACACCCCTACATAGACGTAACAAATAAATATTAAATACTGTCCAGCTTGAATATATAACGGAAGGAGGAAGCTTGAGAGTTCGCGAGGTTAATGCTGTATGGAATGAAACTGTGGCTGAATTTGGATGTTCTGCTTCATATACCACGAAGCCTCCTCCCAGAAGGTAACAAGGAAAACAGGTTGTGAAGAGGATGTGTAGTGTCCCAGATAATCTTATGGATCCTGCTCAAGCAACGCTTCTGTGCTATGTCCTGGATGGGAGGGAGGGAACTGCCCATGATCTTTTCAGCCATTCTCACCACTCTCTGCACTGCCTTCCTGTCTGAAGCAGTGATGCTTCCAAACCAGACTGTGATGCTGTATGACAGGATGTTCTAATGCAATTTGCCTGTTACATAGGCAAAGGGGAATCGATCTTTCGGTTGGGTCAACCTGAATTCTTCAGAAAGGTTTGCAGGAATGGGAACCTTACCTAAGGAAGTCACGTTCTCAGAATTCTCTTGCATGACGGTGTAATACAAGATTCTTTGTTTCTTATCCAGAAGAGCCCACTCCTCTGGGGTGAAATGTACAGCCACATCCTGGAAAGCCACCGGGTACTAGAAAAGGAACAAAATTGTACAAAGTAATGCATTTGATCTGTTATTCTGATGACTGCTAACTATGTCAAAGTTATATAGCAAAAATATTCAGCAATTATGCCTGTTTTATCCTGAATTTGTAATTCCTTATTCACATTTATATAAAGTTTATATTAAGCTCCCAGGTGCTCAAATTCTCAACACAATGTTGAAGAAGGGCCTGCCTAATTTACACTAAGGCAGGAGGAGGGAGACTAGAGGTTTAACTGTACTCCTACAATTGAAACACAACTCACTATTTGGACTGTTGGTTGTGATTGTAGTTCAGCAAGCTGTGGAAATCCAGCCACTGCCTTATTAGATGAACTAGGTAATTAAGTCTTCATATAGCTTAATAACAATATTCCTGGGATTCTTACCCAGGATTTGTGATTACAATTTGTGTGAGCCTAGCTACTAGAATTTATGTTAATGTCTTACTTTTACGCCTTTATGTTAAATTTGTGGCTCACCAAATAACACCAAGCTTTCCTAGAAAGTTGGGAACTATCTCAAGGGAGACAAAGTTTTTATCCTTCCCTCTTTCTACTGCCCACTCCATTTATAACCTATTGCAGGTGGTTCAGAATCCAGCCCACCAGAGACCCTTTCTTGCTTGGCCAGTGCTTGTGGTCAGAGGAATAACAACATTCCTAGCATTAGACCAAGAATCGGGGTCCATTTCTTATTAGCAAGAATACCTGTTGCTGCAGGTAAGCTTCAGCCAGCTGAGCTGCCTCCTGGCTGCTACCTGGCTTCCTGGCTCTCACCCAAGCCTGCATTCCCAAAGGAAGCACGTGCAGAAACTGCTCCAAGATGACCACGTCCACAATCTGTCCCTTGGTGCGGTCCTGTGGTCTTAGCCATCTCTGAGCGGCCTCTCCCAGCTGGAACAGAGTCTGCCAGGGACTTTCTCTGAAAGGAAGAGCATCAGAACGGAACCTCTGCCTATTGTACTCCTCAATATCCTTGAGCAGAGTATTCACTTCTTCTGAAACTTTCCTGGAGGCTGACCAAATGCGTCTTCTCCTAGAGAAGGAACTGAGCTGATCCACTGGGGCCAAACCAACTGGTTCTTCTGCTGGGACTTGGGAAAGCAGAAAAGTCTGAGGGTCCATCTTAAAGGAAACCTTGCAACTAGTTTTAGGAGAAAAAGGAAAATACATCTTACTTATTGAGCAATAAGCCACACTGAAAAGAAAAAAATAGCAAAATGAACAAAAAACTGCATCTAAGAACAGCAATTTCATAAGGGATAGAGTGCTATGGGGCAGAGAGTAACACAGACACACGCTGGCTACTTTGCCTATTTTGGCCCTCTCTAAAGAGAAATGTCACCACAATCTCCTTCTAATTCTGCTAGATTGTTTCCCCTGCAAACGAGAAGGGCTAGTTGTTTGCTGACCGATGCTGCCTGGAGTTCCCCTGTCTGTAAGAGAGAAAGAAAGATTTTACATCGCAGAAAATCTTTTTTTCCCCTATACACAGAAATACATCTCCGTCCAGTTCTCTCTTTCCGGGTTGGAGAAAAAAGCTGGCCAGCAAAGCCGGGGCTCAAATGAGACCCCTGGCGTTGTGCTTGTCAATCCCTCCATCGCCATCCTTTTCTCTGACTGCCCTGCAACCCGGCCAATTTCTCTGCTGCTGGGGGAGACTCCGCGAGGCTATGATCTAAAGATGGATCTGCAGGGGGGGGAGGTGGATGGGCGGACGGAAGGATGGGGAGGAGCCCCCCTCCCGGTTTCTACTTGCCCAGCCCTGTGTCAAGAAGTCTTTTTAGCCGAATATTCGGCTGCTGCAGAAGAAAAATAATTCTTACTTTAGGGTTAAGCTAAAAAGGAGAAAGAGAGATTTTTCTCTGCTAGACCTTCTTGTATTGAAACAGGACGGCCTAGTAGAGCGGAACAATCACAGCAACTTCCCAATAACCCGGAAAACAAAACAGGAATCTTGCATGATGTTCGCAGCGAAGAGGAAAGCTAGCAGGTACTTCGGGTCTAGCCAAGAAAAAGCCGAGAGCCCTCTCGTGGGCAAAGGAAAGAAACGTTTCCTAGTTTTGCCTCTGCTGATTTACAGTAAACCGCCCTGCACCCGTCACCCTTCGGAGAACAGAGGGTTTTTATTGGCTTGGCACAAAGCAGCGATTCCCAATCCGGCAACTTTAAAAATTTCGGGAATTGAAGTTCACACATTTGAGAGTTTTGCTAAGATTGAGAAACCCCGGCATCGAGGCATTACTGGCGTGTGCGTGTCAAACGAAGGCAGATGAACAGCAGTGATCCCATCCAAGCTTCGTCCCGTCTCCTTCTGTCTTTTTACTGGGAGTCGTATGTACACCTAAAAGCGCGATGCTGCTTTGATCATTCGGATAAATGAATCAAATCCTGCAGATACCTCTGGCTTTGAGTACCCTGTATTTCAGGGAGGAAATCTCCAGTCACTGAATTGTTTCCTTCGAGGTGTGAAATAAAGGTGAGATCACTTGGCAGCTGCTTTCCATCTCTATTGTTATGCCACGATTTACAGAACAGGCTGAAGCTGAAATAACCAAAGGCCATTTTCTTGGGGACTGTTTGTGCTAATTATTCAGTTTGGTTTCTGGGGTTCTGGAAAATGTTGTGCCTTTTGATGAATGTAATGTTAATTGTTCTTTGGTTTTGCTTGTTTTTATTCTGTTTTGCCAGTTAACAGTTTGGGTGCAATCAGCAAGGTGATTGTTGTCCCAGGACTAAATGTTAGAAAAGTTTTAATTTATTGTTCTTTGCTTTTTTATGAGCATTCTAGAGTTCAGTACAATCTCCAAGACAAAAACAAACTCTAACCAATTAGTAAAGCATCTGAAAAACAACCATGGCAACAAATCAGAATTCCATATAACAGGTATACAGGTTGTCCTTGGTTAACAATGATAATCAGGACTAGAATTTTCACAGATAAATGATGGAGTTGTAAAGCACAACATCACATGATCACATTGCTTAGCAATGGAAATCTTGGCAGTCCTCATTGCTATTGGTAACCAAATGTCATTAGGCAAGGATCCACCCCAATCCAAGCCATTCCTGGAATTGAAGTGCTCCTACAGTTCTAAGTGGAGGTGGGCTGCCAAGTGCCCCAATTTTTTTTTTATTGAATTTTTTTTTAAATTTTACAAAAACAAAACAACCCTTCCCCAAACCTCCCCAACCCTCCCATTCCCTCCCCCGACCTTCCCGGAGCTGAATATAGGCTTAATTGAAATTTCTTCAAAAAATCTTAAAAAAGATATAAACCATGAATAAATCTAAATACATTAATTGAACAAATTGTAAAATAATTAACAATAATATATATATAAAAAAACATAAATACCAAAAGAAAAATACTTGAAAGGAAAAAGAATAAAGAAAAAGAAAAAAGCTTTTTCTTTATTCTTTTTCCTTTCAAGTATTTTTCTTTTGGTATTTATGTTTTTTTATATATATATAAAAAGATAAAAGAAAGTATAATAAAAATAAAAGATAAAAATAAAAAAAGAATAAAGTCTATAAAATATTTTAAATTTTAAATATAAGTTATTGAAAAACTAAATAATATTTTTTTATATCCAACTTATATTGTATAAAATCTATCCATTTTTTCCATACCGCAAAATACTTCTCTTGCGATTGATCCTTCAAAAAAGCCGAAATCTTTGCCATTTCCGCCAAATAAGAAACTTTAAAAAACCACTCTTGCAAAGTAGGCAAAGATTCCTTCTTCCAACATTGCCCTACTAACAACCTTGCGGCTGTAATTAAATTTAACATCAATGTGGTCTCTTTAGTATCACAATCAGTAACAATACCTAACAAAAACAATTGTGGGGTAAATTTTACCCTCCTTCTAAAAATTCTTTGAATATTCCACCATATCTTAATCCAAAAAACTTTTATATTTTTACACGACCACCAGATATGATAGTAAGTAGCATCCAAACATCCGCATCTCCAACATTTAGGCTGTAAGTCAGGATACATGCGAGACATTTTTTGTGGATCAAGGTGCCATCTATAAAACATTTTGTAAAAATTCTCCCTTAAGTTTTGGGCTTGTGTAAATTTGACATTCCTCACCCAAATAATTTCCCAGGTGTCTAGTAGAACTAATTCACCAAAATTTTGTGTCCATTTAATCATACATTCTTTGACTAATTCTGCTTCTGAATCCAATTCTACTAGCACCCCATAAATTCTCTTAATGTGAGTTCGTCTTTGATCTTTTATTTGTTTTAACAAGTTTTCATCTTCTCTAAGCAAACCCACATTACGATCTATCTTCCACCTATCCACTATTTGTCTATACTGGAACCATGAGTAAATAATATTTTCTTGTGTTAAATCTTCCAAAGATTTTAACTGCCAATTTTTACCATCCCATCTAAGTAATTGTACGTAAGAAACACTATCCATCTTAACTCCTCTTCTTATCCCTTCTATCGCATGCCATGGTATAGCCCATAATGGAATTTTAAAATCACTTCTATAATATTTCTTCCAAACCCGAAGTAAAGAAGTCCTTATAATATGAGATTTAAAGACCCTATCGACCTTTTTATTAAAAATTAAATAGGCATGCCCTCCAAAAAGTAAATCCCAACCCTCCAAGAGGAGTATTTCTACATTTGTTAAATTAACCCAATCACTTATTAATGTTAAAACCACAGCCTCATAATAAAGTGCCCAAATTTTTATCATGTGATCATGGAGGTGCTGCAGAAGACGTAACTTTGGGGACTGGGTTCAAGTACCATTCATTCAGAGCCAGTGTAACTTTGAATGGTCACTGAATGGAAGATAGTTAAATGAGGACTACCTGTAAGGCAAAAAGATCCTCTTTCAGGACAAGAGATATCTTAACAGGTCTTTATTCCATATCAGAGACCCACAGTATTGCAGGTGACAAGCGGAAAACCCAGATTTAACTGGCATTAAAAAATGGCAATTAATTATTCTTGGGCAAGACGTTTTGCACAACTTTACCTGATTTTGAAAAGGTGGCATTCAAAAAAATCAGAATGAGAATGCATAGTTACAGTGACAAATGCTGTAGAACAGGGGTCCCCAACCCCCGGTCTGTGGACCAGTACCGGTCCATGGCATGCCAGCAACCGGTCTGCACAAACAAGCAAAGCCCCATGTGTGGGATGCAGGTAGCACACAAAACCACCCTCTCTGGCCCACGGAAAAACCTTTCTCCACGGAACTGGTCCCTGGTGCCCAAAAGGTTGGGGATCTCTGCTGTAGAACAAGAAAATGGAAATAATAGTGAATGATCCTCACTGGATTACTACAAAGACAAGCAAGCCTCAACAGGGCAAGGATTGGTAGGACCTGGTGACCATTTTCACACAACCTTGCTGACTGGCATCTCATTACTTACCACCATTTCATGTACCACTGGGGGGCGCACACCAACTGCCTACCTAGTAGCAATTACACCAACAGTCCTCCCAACTGCTGTTAAAAAGGCAGAGAGGCCAAGACTTTCTGGGCTTCTGTTTTGATGGAGGGGAGATCTTGCCTTGGCATAACCAGTGCTTTTTTTCTAAGAAAAAAAGAGGTGCCGGAACTCACACATCATACAACCTGCCTTGCCTACCCTACAAGGTTTCATCCAAAAAAGGTGCCGGAACTCCGTTCTGGGTGTTCTATGAGAAAAAAAGCCCTGGGCATAACCATCCCCAATCCACTATGGGCGACATTAGGATCTTGGACCATTTAGCTATTAAGTTCTCCCCCTTTCACAGCTTCTATGTGGTTCTCATGGTGAAAGCCAAGAGCCATAAAGATGGGGTGCCTAGAATATCGATTTCTTGAAAGTCAACTCTAAGATTTTGCCATGGAAGGCAGAGATATTAATCTCCAGATCAGCTATTGAGGCAATACAGCTTAGATACCATGTGTATATGTGTGTGCGCTCTTGTGCACAGACTACTTTTTGTCCAAAAACCTAGGGCAATTTGGTTTGAAAATGAAGTCTCTTGGGGCTAATTAGTGGGATCAACTTATTTTTTCTGTTCACATAACATACCACCCCTCATGATTCATGTATAAACCAGGCTGTTACAGCCATTAGGTTGCATAAATGGACTGGAACAGAAATGAAAACTCAGGAAATCAAGGAAAAACATTTTCTTTTTTCAACTGGTATTTCTGAAGAAAGCAGTAGCATGACATGGAAGGTACATACCTTATATGTTAATGTTTAGTTTTTTCAACCTGTGCACATTTCATCCATCCTCTTTTGAGTCCCACTGGGCTTAAAAGGCAAGTCTTAAATGCTTCTGTTTTATAATTACCGAATTGAGGACATATTTTTCTGAAGCATCTCATGTCATTTCCAGACAAGCTTCAGTAAAATAGCCATAGATGTGTGGGAAACAAAATATATAATTAACCTAAAAGTTTTCTAATAGTCAAATTGAAGTTTTCTTAGAGAACATTAAGAACTATTATTAAGTTTCAGGTTACAATGAGATAATGCCACTTGTTCCTAGGAAAATGGAAGCCAGCCAGAGTGGCATAAACCACTTTATATGGAATATCTACCGTTTACTAACTTCCTTCGAGCCAATCTTAAAGAAGGCATTTTAAATAACGGGGGACTACAGGACAGCAGAGGATGGTCATGGTCTCAGGGCACAATATTTATGTCTCAAATGTACACTGCTTCCCTCTGATCCCATAAAAGCATTTGCAAGAATTGAGTTCCTTAGGGAATTCACTGAAAAATAATCATATAACTAAATATATGGTGCATGTGTCTCTATCTATGTGTTTTCTGCTGTTAATCATTCCTGAACATTATCCCACAGATGGGCCCCCATAATTTCTGTTTTCTGTATGAATTTATGGATGCTTATTTTGGCCAAAAGGAACACAGGCAAGGATTTTCTCCTGTGTGAATTCTATCATGCTTAAAAAGATTTTATCTGTTGCAAAGTTATTTTTCCAAGTTCAGAGCATAGGCAATTTTTCTCTCCAGAGTGAGAGAACTGTGTTTAATTAGGTCAAATTTTCTTCTCAGGAGAGACATTTGTATGGCTTTTCTCCTGTATGGACTTGCTGATGCTTATTTAGACAAGATTTCACCCGGAAGCTCTTCCCACAGTCTTCACACTCAAACGGCTTCTCACCTGTGTGGATCCTGTAATGTCCATGTAGATGGGATTTGATGTTGAATCTTTTGCCGCATTCAGGACAGCCATAAGGTTTCTCTCCAGTATGGAGACGTAAATGGACATTAAGGTTAGACTGCTGATGAAAACGTTTCCCGCACTGAACACACGGATATGGCTTTTCCCCGGTGTGGATCCTCTGGTGCGTAATAAGATGCGAAGGCCGATCAAAACCTTTCCCGCACTCAGAACAGGAAAAAGTCTTGTTCGATACTGTGATTTCTATAGGGGGCTTCCTACTCATAATTTTAATTATTTTTTCTGCTTCAGGAGC